GCATGTTGCATTCACACCTTGGAGCACTGGGTTGAACTCTGGTCCCTCTTTCCCTGTGGAGATATAAACAATACCCTCCCCTTGGGTGGGTTAGAACACAGTGCAAACTTTTAATAAGCTCTGATTATTCACCTAAGGAGGGGAGAAAAAAGCCAATGTGTGTGGGTGTGTGTGGGGGGCTTGGTTTCAAAGAAGAGTAAGCACCTGGGTGCACATCAAGGAGCCCTGGTGGCGCAGTGGTTGGGTGCTCGGCTGCTGACAAAAGCATTGGTGGTTCCAGCTCAGCCAGTGGCTCTGCCAGGGGCAGGTTGAGCATTTGGTCCCCGAAAGGTACTCCCCTCTCCCCCGGTCCAGTGTATGGGCAGTGCTGCTCTGTCCTGGGCTGTCACTGTGGATCAGAGTCCACTCCATGACTCCTAACAGTGGCCTCACACACAAGCTACCCCTAGTAACACGCCCCAGTGACTGACCACGTTACCTGGTGCCAGCTCAGAGCCCTGCCCACCCACTGCCATGGATGCAGTCTGCGGGACGTCACCCAGTCGACCCCGACTCACAGTGCCCCTGTGTGGGGTTTCTGAGGCTTTGCATGTCTCTGCGGGAGTCGACAGCTTGGCCTTTCTCCTTTGGAGCAGTTGGCGGATGGGCTTGAACTCCTGACTTTGGGGTGAGCCACCCAGTGGTACATGGGCTCGCCACTGGGGCTCCTTGAGTAAGGGCAGTCTCAGCTTGTGAACAGGTGCAAGTTTATCTTTCCAGAGCTGACCAGTGAGGCCATTCACGTGCCAAGACTAGGCCCCAGTGAAGTCCCTGACAGCCTGTTGCTTGATTTTCTTTCGTGTCACTAATTATGTGTGTGCGTGTATATTGGGGTAGGGTGTGGGAAGGATGCTGTGAGAATGTGGGGTGCCCCCCTGCCAGGCACATTTCCCATGAGCGTCTTTCCCTCCACTGCAGCAGGCAGCTCTCTCCAGCACCGGCAAGAGGCCTCTTGATAACCGCACTTCCAGTCCAGCCAGTTCCCTAGCCTGCCTGCCTCGTCCACTTGCTGGATGCCGTCTTCCCAGCAGGCGGAGTGGTCATCGCAGGGATGGGTACAGTGGCGGCACCTGCCTTTCTCATACTCTTCAGGGTGACCCAGGGGTGCACAGACATGAGCCAATCCCGAGATCTTGGTGGGCGAGGTCCAGTCCTGCATGAGGACACTCCTAGTGTGTGTTTGCAGAGCCCACCCCGAGTAGCTTCTAGCCACCAGGCCAGGCCATGTCTGGGTTTGCAGGTGCACGGTAGATGTGTGCTACACAGCCTTGGTGTAGACACTGCCCAGAGTTCTCCACATTTCTACTATTTCCCACTTGCACACACACTGAATTTGACAGCTGTAATTTAGTAACTCAGCCGGACGGAACCTGCAGGCTGCACACGAGCATTTGCCCAGCGGTTCACGCAGTTATTCTGCTGGAGTAAGGATGCCTGGCTTCAACAGGTTGGACTCTGGGGTCGCAGATAACCTCTGGAGGGAGCAGCCGCCAGGGAGCCACTTGGGGTGAGGCGTGAGCGAGGGAGAGGCCCCACTCTCAGGCACCAGATTGCTCATCTGTAAAATGGAGATAAGAGAGTCTTTACTTGGTTGAGTTGTTATGAGAATTGAATAAGCTCACCCTGTAAAGCTTTTAGCTGTCCTTGGTCTGTTATAAGTACTTAAAGAATTTAGCCATTAATTTTACTGTTATGGCTGTATCTTAGTTATCTACTGCTGCTATTATCGAAGTACCACGAGTGGATGGCTGTAGCAAACAGACATGTACCCTCCCAGTTTTCAGGAGTCCGAAGTCTGAATTCAGAGCACCTGCTCTAGGGAAGGCGGTCTCTCGGTCGGCTTTGGGAAAAGGTCCTGCTCTCCTTCCTTTCAGCCCCTGGGGGCCCGGCACTCCCTGAAGAGCTCCATGTGTCTTGGCAGCAGGCTCCCCCTGAGTCTAGGAGGTTCTCAGTGCAGGGGCCCCAGGTCCAAAGGAAGCACGGGAGGAGAGAGGGTGAGAAGGCCTTGTGAAAAGGTGCTGGCTGGACCTGGGTGCCAGGGAGGAGAGTGAACTGGGGCCAACCTCTGCAGAGGGCCTTGCGGGAGGTGAGAGCCATGGGCAGTTCTGACACCCTAGAGAGTGGTGGCCAGGGTCCAGGTTGACCAGAGACATGGTGAGGCCAGTTCTCGATGGTCTTTTTGTGCATCCTGAGGGGCCCGAGTGAGCTTTGTCCCCACACAGCAGTGGAGGTGGTCGTCTGTGTCCCCACACAACAGTGGAGGTGGTCGTCTGACCTGCCTTCCAGCCCAGCTCTCCTGAGCTTGTGACCCCACTGTCCTGGAAGGCTGGTGCTGTCTGCCTGCCCTGGGTCAGGGCTGCCGACAAGGGGCAAGGGGCGCCCTGGTTCAGCTTTGGCCATGGACTTGATGGGCCCTGTTACACATTGATGTCTGGTTGGCAATTGCTGGGCCAGAGATGCAGTTGGTGGGAAGCGATGTCATGGGGCAGATGACGTCATGTGAGTATCTCAGCACAAGTCACGATAGTGAACTGTATGATTCTCGCTAAGGGGACCAAACCTCTGTTTATTGTCATTAGCCGTCTTCACTCTTTTTGAACAAAACAGTATGGCGCTGATTTCCTAGGAGTAAGACTCCTGGTCAAGTCCCACTGAGTCCCAGGTAGTGGGGTAGTTGCCAGGCAGCTGGGTTAGTGGTGACATAAACGGCAGATGGACAGGCAGGCAGCATTCAAAGATGAGTGTCCACCTTTTCTGAAGACTCTGGCCCTCACCACCTTTGTCTGGGGTGGTGTTAGTGTCCACTGTATTGGGATTAGCTGGCCTATGTGTGGTTCTCAGCAGGCTTCGTTGAAAGAGGCTGGGTAGGTGGGCAGCCTGGCGTGAGGCCAGCTCCCCTGAGGTGGCTCTTCCGGGTGTTTTCCACATGCCTGTGTGTTTGATGCCCAGCTTTGGTTTTTTCCCACCAGATGGGTTTGAGGACTACGGCCCAGACTGCGACAGCATGAGGGTGTCAGCCTTCCTGGACATCCCTGGCCAGGACCATCTGCCTCCACTCAAGCGCCTGGAGAAGTATGCCTTCAGCGACAACATTTTTAACCGGTAAGCCCCCCAGTCGCCTGCAGGCCCCCCAGTCGCCTGCAGGCTCCCAGCCCCTGGCTGTGCTGCGTGACCTGAGCTGCCGCTCCTCTGCAGCGGGTCCTGGGAACTCCGGGGAGTAGTGGGATCCTGGCTGTTGCCAGGATGCTGGGATCCTGGGGACCATTCGATTCCATTCTCTCATGAGCGTTGTTACTGTTTTATGATTGTTGTTACTATTTACTGATCACCTGGTGAGCCGGGGAGGAGACCATGATGAAAAGCCTTCACTGCCATCCAGTTGATTCTGACTGATAGCAACCCCATGGGGCAGGGTAGAACTGCCCCTGTGGGTTTCCGAGACTGCAGCTGTGTAGGAGTAGAAAACCTTGTCTTTCTCCCGTGGAGCCGGTGGTGATTTCAAACTGCTGACTTTATGGTGAGAAGCCTACTAGGAGCTTACTCTGCCAAATGGAGTCTCCATAATTAGGACTGAAAACCTGGTTTTTTGGTTCTTGTTTGGACACAGACAGCCCTCAGGAAAGGGAAATGTGTCGTTTGAGATGCAGTGGAAGGCATTGGTTGGAAGTCTGGTCAGCTCATTGTACTTTCTGTCCACCCTCTTTGTGCTGCCAGGAGCCCTGGTTTGCATAGGGGTTATTCATTGGGCTGTTAATGTGGGGTCAGCAGTTCGAAACTACCAGCCAGCCACTCCTTGGGAGAGACAGACGGGGCTTTCTACTCCCGTAAAGTGTTACAGTCTTGAAAACTCACAGAGGCAGTTCCACCTTGTCCTTCCTAGAGGGTCGTTATGAGTTGGCATTGACTCAGTGGCAGTGAGCTTGGTTCGATGGGTGCTGCAGGGGCCGTTGTGGCGGTGGGGTGCTGGCAGCTTCGCTGTAGACACCGACTGTATAACTCTTCTTTGCAGCGGCTGACCCTGACTCGTGTTTCAGGAAGAAAGCCGAGACGAAAGTAGCTCCTTCCGTTCGCAGTCAACCCACACGTACCGGAGTCTGTTGGCATTCTCCCCTCCCGTCTCTGAAGGGGAATTCTCTCTCTTCCAGTCCAGCCTCCGTGGCCAGCCTTCCGTTCCGCCTGATAGCTCAGCACCCTCAGTGTTCTGTCTCTTCCCTCCTGGCCCACACACCCGCTCCTTGCCCTGGCAGACTTGGGGCAGCTCTTGTTCCCGCAGCTCACTGACTACGCCTTTCCTCACACCTCCCCTTCCCCACCCTCTTCTCGGAAAGACGAGATGACCACCGGGGAGTCACTTTCCGGAGCCTGCCTGTCGCTTCTTGCTGCTTGTGTGCAAGTTACTGCCAACTCATGATCTGTACCATGACATCTGTTGGCTCATCGAAAGCGCCCAGCAGCGAGTCTGATTGTGGGCTCCATGATGTAGACAGGCACATGGAAGCATTCTGAGTGCTGTCTTTGATGAGCAGTTCTTAATGTAGATGAAGTCCTCTGTGTGACTTTCTGTTATGCTTGCCTCCTCCACCATCCCTAGGACGTCCTTCTTTCTGACACGTGGGCAGTTGTATTGTCTTACCGCTCACATTTGGATCTAAGCTGCAGCTGGGGTGACATTTGTTGTTTGTGTGTGGTGTGAGGTAGGAGTCAGGACTTATTTTCTTCCATATGGTGTCCAATTGACCCAGCTGCAATACCGAAGATACTGTTTTACCTACGGCTCTGCCGCCTGATCTTTGTCTTAAATCCAGTGTCCGTGTGTGTGTGTGTGTGTGTGTGTGTGTGGTTTCTATCTGGGCTGTCCACAACACTGTCCTCACCACTGGAACTTTACAACCCAAAGGCTTGCTAGCAGCTAGAGTAAGTCCACTCACATGCTTCTTCAAAATCGTCTTGCCTCGTCTTAGGCCTTTGCATGTCCAAATACACTTAACCATCAGCTCATCAATTCCCTGCTGGGGTTTCCATTGGGGTTGTCTTGGGTCTATAAATCATTTGGGAAAGAATTGACCTCTGTACCATATGCAGTCTAACAATCCTTCCATTTATTTAGATTTAAAAAAAAATTCTTTGAGGAGCCTCAGTGGCATAGTGGTTATGCATTGGGCTGCTAACTGTACCAGGTTAGCGCTGGGCTGTCTACTTCCATGAGGAGTTACATTATGGTTGAGTGAAATCTACCCTCTTATTATTTCTCTCAACTGTACTTGTTCCTTCCCTCCTCCTACCTACTGCCCCACAATACAATGTTAACTGGCTTTGCATTATGCAGCCAGTCCTGTATGGTTTGAAGCAATGAAAAGAACACGGCGTTTTGTATTTATTAACATTTTTTACCACTTTGAGAGCTTTTTATGTCTTTCTGTAAGTGTGCATTTCCATCAGAACGTATCTCCCTCTGCTTGAGGAAGGGGTCCTGGTGGCACAGTGTCTACATGCTAGCTCTCAGGTCAGCAGTTCAAAACCAACAGCTGCTGTGCAGGAGGGAGACAGGGCTTTCTGCTCTCATACAGAGGGACAGGCTCAGAAACGCACAGGGGCATTTCTACCCTGCCCTACGGGGTTGCTAGGAGTCAGCATCAACTCGATGGCAGTGGGTTTGCTTTATTTACTTATTTCTTTTGTAACTTAAAGGAACTGTGGTGATTAAGGACTTGGCAGCTAACCCAAAGGCTGGTTGTTCGAGCCTACCAGCTGCTCCTGGGGTGGAAGATGAGGCTTCCTGCTGCTGTGAGGATTGACAGCCTTGGAAGGCCTCTGAGGCAGTTCTCTTCGGTCCTGCAGGCTCACTGAGATGGAGTCAGTGTACTGGGATTGGGTTTGGTTTTTATAGTTGGTTTTTGCCAGAAGAGCTTCCTACACCAGCTCTTGTTAGCACAGTACGGCTGCCGGTGAATTCTCCCTGCTTTTTTTTTTGTTTTTTTTGCCTTAAAAAGTCTCTGTTCTGCCCTTTGTGCCGGATTGTGGGGCATTAGTTTTATGTTTACTTTCAATCATGAAAGATGCTGCATTGTCTTCTGACTTGCATAGTTTCTCATGGGAAGACCGCGCTCTTTTTCTTCTTCCGGGCCTGTAGTGCCCCCTTTTTCTCTGGCTGCCTTACCATGTTTCTTTTCATCTTTGATTCTTAGCAGTGTGTCTATGATATGTTTATGGGGTATCATTATTTATCCTATTTGGGGACCCCAAGTTTCTTGGATCAGTGTATTACTATCTTTCATCATTTCTGAAAACTTCCTGGCCATTGTCTTTTCAAATATGTTTTTTTCTATTTTTAAATTTTATTGGGAGCTCTTACAGATATTGCAACAATTCATGTTTCAGATAGATCAAGCGTACTTGTACAAATGCTACCATCATCAGTTTTCAAGTATGTTTTTCTTTCCTCTCATCTTCTTGGACTCCTTTTGCACCCATCTCCTGACATGTCTCAACTCTTCCAGCGTGTAGGCTCTTAGCATATTGAAAGCCTGCTGCTGCCGAGTAGACTCTGACCCGACAGGACAGCGTGGAGCTGCTCTGCAGGGTTTCCAAGGCTGTCAGCTTTTCAGAAACAGAGGGCCGCAGCCTTTTCCCTCGGAGCCACTGGTGTACTCAAACTGCTGACCTTGCAGTTAGTAGCCTTTTAAAGTTAAGTCCCAACACTTGGGTCTGATGTTCCTGGCCCTCCACAGCTTTGGCGTAATCCTGGCGCCTCCTCCCACACACACCTCTTTGGATAGCTAGCTCCTGCAAGCACTCTCTTAGGGTCTCATGACTGTCTGTCTCCACCGAGTTTCTTGCCTACCTCCCTATCAAGACGGTAAACTCCTCCAGGCCAGGGGAGGGTTAGGACCTGGGCCTGAGCCGAGTTTCTTGGGTCTGGAGGGAGTTGAGCTCAACATTTTATTGTCGTCAAAGGAGTGGGTGAAGGAAGAAAGGAGCAGTGGAACAAAGGCGTGGCAGCATATTCAGGAAATATGAGCCATGTTTCCTGATGAAATTGAACCAGCTCTTTTCTTTATATTAAAAAACCACAACCAGACAGTTTTTAGCAGTTTCGGAACTGTAGAAAATATGAGTTCCCTTCTCAACTGTACTGTAACCCTAGGTAATAATAGCTCTAAACTGTTTGGTGTATACACACACATACCCACACACCTTTTAAGGCTTTTCCTTAAATGAGCATGTGTCTGTGATGTGTGTGTGTGTGTGTGTGTGTGTGTGTGTGTGTGTGTGACATACATAAAGGTCATCTGTGTTAGGAATTGCCCCCCTATTCCCTGGTGGCATAGGAATTATGTACTGGGTTGCTAACCACAAGGTCAGCAGTTTTAAACCAGCACCTGCTCCACAGGAGAAAGGACTATCTACTTCCGCAAAGAGTTACAGGTACAGTGACCTTATAGGACGGAGCAGAACTGTCCCTGTGGGTTTCCAAGAACTTAAATCTATATGGGAGCAGACAGCCTCCTCTTTCTCCTGCATAACAGCTGGTGTTTTCAAACTGCTGACCTTGCGGTGAGCATCCCACTTTGTAACCCGACACACTATGTCCATCTCTCTCCAGTGAATGACATTCAGATTGCTTTCAGTCTCTTGCTATCATTGGAATGCTAATGGCCACCCCAGGCCAAGGGCTTGTGTGCCAAGCAGGGACCTGCCAGACCTTTCTATGCTTCTTCTCACTTCCTCCCCAAAAGGCCCTTTGGAGGAAGGCTCTCCGAGCTCCCTCAGGACTCCTTTCCATACTGCAGACAGCACTGAAGTAGAGTGTGGCTTCTGAAAATGCTGCTTATCTTATCCCCGCTGATCTCTCCAGGTCATTGAGATGTAAAGGAGCCAGCCTTTCCAAAGTGGGTTTGTGCCTGTCGGGGCTCTGCTCCGGTTCTGCATTTACAATGTGCCTCTGTCCCTGCTCCCAGGGGACCTCTCTTATCCCTTCCCTTTCTCTCCTTAAGAGGGCAGGTCCTTGGTGACCACTTGAGGTGGGATGCAGATTTGTCTGTCCGTTCTATGGCCCTAGAAACAGATTGGAGATCTCGCTTGCCTGATTTCCCCTGGGAGGC